TTCGAGTTTTCACAAGATATGCAATGAGAAATAGTTTTCCAAGAGAAGTTCACATTATATTTACAAAGAAAGCTATTAAAATGCAAATATTACAGGTGGCAAGAGAGAAAACACTGAAATACAAGGATAAGGAGAGTGTGGTTCTGAAACAAGTACCCAGAAGAGTGAGAGAGATGAGAAGAGAATATCGATTGTTGACTAAAATACTATTCAAAAAAGAGGTAAATTATAGATGGTTGATACCAGAAGGTTTAATGTTTACATGACAGGAACAAAGGCACAGAATCGACTCAATTGAGAAAGCAGAATTATTTTATACAGAATACTTTGGAGGGAAAGAGGAGGAGACAGAAAAAGAAATGTCATTAATTGAATTCCAAGAGGACTGTCAAGCAGTGATTGAAAAAGAAGGTACAGTAGGCAGAAAGGCGGAAGTTAGAGAACAACGAGAACCAAGATCTACCAGGGCTGCAAAACCTACTTATAAAGTATAATCATGGAAGAGAAAAAACTGATTACAATTAATATAAATGGACTTAACTCAGCTGTTAAAAGAAGGAAAACTTTCCATAAATTAGAGAAATTAAAATTTGATATAATTTGCCTACAAGAAGTACATATTAAAAAGCAATATGAACAACTATTGATACAGCCAAAGCTAGGAAAATATTTACTTCTCTGACACAATGTAAGAAAAGAGGAGTGGTCTTATACATTAAAGATACTATTCCAGTGAAATTGAACCACACGGATGATGATGGAAGACTTTTAATGGTGGAAATAATGGACAATACAAAAACATTCCTGATAGCAATCTATGCTCCAAATGAAAATCAAGAAAATTACATATGAAAATAATTGAACTGGACTATGTTAATATCTGTATGATGGGAGACTTCAATGGAATAGTAGATAATAAACTGGACTATACAACACAGAAAACAACAAAGCAAAGCAGAAAGACTCTCCCTAGATCCTTTTTTAAAATGATAGATGAAATAAATTTAAAAGATGCATGGAGAGAAAGAAACACTAAGACCAAGCAATATAACTTCTATTCAAATAGACATTCATCATGGTCCAGAATAGATATGATATGGATGTCAACAGAACTGATCACTAATCTCCAAGAAATAGATATTGAAACAAGTACCTGGACAGACCATAATCCAATGACAATAAAATGGAAAGGACAAAGAAGAAGATCTAGATGGACGTTAAATAACACTATACTAAAAGAAAAAGACTTTATACAGAGAATGGAGAAAGAACTGGCTTTTTTCTTCAAAGAAAATAAAAAAGAAGACACATCAATGCAGAATGTATGGGATACAATGAAGGCATATGCCAGAGGCTTGATAATAGATTACACAAGGAAAAGAAATATTATGAAAAAACTAGCCTCTAAGACATTACAGGATGAGTGTAAATGGCTTGAAAAAGAATTACAGAAAATGCCACAGAAAAAGGACATTAAGTTAAAAATGGATACAATTAAACATAAAATGGGATTAATGGAAAAAGAAGAATTAGCACAGAAAATCAGAGGTGTGAAGCAGAATTATTTTGAAGATGCAAATAAACCAGGTAGATGGTTAGCATATAAACTGAGAAAGGAGAGAGAATCAAGGAAATATTGCAATTAATAAATGATCAAGGCCAAGCTTGCTATGGAACTAAAGAGAAGAAAAAAAATCATACAAGATTATTATGGGAAATTATACAAGAAAATATTGATGATGAAAGAGTTAAACAGTACTTACAGAATGCTAACTTACCCCAGATACCTAAAGAGATTGAAATAATGTTAGAAAGTAATATAACGATGATGGAGTTAACTGAAGCACTTAAGAAGCAAAATAATGGAAAGGCACCAGGTCCAGATGGACTTGTAGCGGAATTTTATAAGACATTACAAGAATTGTTGAATCTCCCATTGTTAGAAGTTATGAATGAAGTTATGTCAAAGAAGAGGACACCCAAATCATGGTCAGAAGCATATATTACACTTGTCCCAAAGGAAGATGCCGACCCACTACAAATCAAGAACTATAGACCTATTTCCCTACTAAACTCAGATTACAAAATTTTTGCTTCAATATTGGCAGAAAGACTCAAAAAATACTTAAATAACTTTATTCATCCTGATCAAAATGGATTTCTGCCAAAGAGACAAATTAAAGATAATATGAGAATAATTTTGGACACTTTGAAATATTATGAGGCACATCCTGAAAAACAAATGGCTTTGATATTCTTAGATGCACAGAAGGCTTTTGACAATGTGAATTGGCGATTTATGTTATTACAGTTGGAGCAGATGGGCTTTGGTAAAAAATTTATCCATGCAATAGAAGCTATATATCATAAGCAAACGTCAAAATGATAGAGGGAGAATTGACGGATTCTATTGACATAAGAAAAGGAACAAGACAAGGCTGCCCACTGTCACCTCTGTTGTTTGTGTTAACTTTGGAAGTGCTAAATAGAAATATTAGAGAAGAAAAGGATATAAAAGGGATGAAAATTAAAAAGGAAGAATTTAAACTGCAAGCATTTGCAGATGATCTGGTTTTCATTTTAGAAGATCCATTAGAAACAGCACCAAAACTGATATAAAAGATAGAGGTATATGGAAAGGTAGCTGGTCTGAAAATAAATAAAGACAAAACAAAGATTTTGACAATATGTTATTAAGACAAAAGGAAGAATTGGCGGATGTTTTGAAAATTCAGGTCACAAATAAGATCAAGTATTTAGGGGATATATTTGACAACAAGATGTAGCATACTTAAAGAGAATAATTATATTAAACTTAAGCAACAGATAGCGATAGATTTGGCAAAATGGGAAAACTTACAATTATCATTAATAGGGAGAATATCAACAATCAAGACAAATATATTACCCAGAATTTTATATTTGTTTCAAACAATTCCAATTAGGCTAGGGAAAGATTACTTTGAAGATCTAAATAAAATCGTGTTGAAATATATGTGGCAGGGTAAGAAATCGAGAATAAAACTAAAACTCTTGCAAGAAGCTAGAATAAGAGGAGGATTTGGCCTCCCTAATTGGGAGTTATACTATCAAGCTACAAATCTGATGTGGGTTAAGGAATGGATAACATTAAGAAATACTAGATTGCTGACATTAGAAGGACATGATTTGTTGTTGGGGTGGCATGCCTTCTTATGGTACAAGGGAACTAAAACACAGGGGTACTTTAGAAGACATTATATACGGGAGGCTCTGTGGTTAAATTGGGAGAAGACTAAAAGGCAATGTTATTTGAAAATTCCAGTCTGGCTATCGACTATTGAAGCATTTTCTTATCCTATAACATATAAAAAGGAACAAACAGATATTGTGAAATATTGAATGAAAAGGGTGAACTTAAATCTATGCAAAAACTAGAGGAAAAAGGTATAAAGATGAATTGGTTTTCATATGCGCAAATATGCTCTAGATATGATAAAGATTCCAAAACAGAAGATTTCTATGATAAATTGACTGATTCAGATAAGATCTTGACAGGTACTGATGAAAAGATGATTAAAAAATTGTATGGATATTTATTAGAAATTAAGTTACAAAAAGAACAAGTTAAAGAAACAATGATTGCTTGGGGGAAAAGTTTTGGATATAGGATTTAGAGAAATGGCAAAAATTGTGGTCTCAAAATTATAAAATGACAATGTCAACAGCATATAAAGAAAATTTTTATAAGATGTTTTACAGGTGGCATCTACCACCACCAAGAATAGCAAGAATGTTTAAGAACAAATCTGAAAAATGTTGGAAATGTCATCAGATACCTGGTTCATATTACCATATGTGGTGGACGTGTGCGGAGGCTAAAAAGTATTGGACTAAAATCCACACATGGTTGGAAAAAATGACAAAAAACCACATAGACTTGAAACCAGAGATATTTTTATTGGGAATTTTACCTGAAATATACAGTAAGGAATTGAAATATTTGATTGTAAATGTATTAACAGTGGCTAGGATTGTATTTGCTAAAAACTGGAAAAATGAGAAAAAACCAACGCAGGAGGAAGTTATTAAGAAAATAATGGAATGTGCTGAAATAAGTAGATTGACATTTGAAATTAGAGAACAAGAAGATAAACAATTTTATAAGATTTGGGATTTATTTTATCAATGGTTAGACAATAAAATATGGTAATGAAATATCTAGAACTTCAGAATATAAATAATATATAAAGACGTATTATCTTTATCATAATCATAATATAATTATGGGATAGAATAGTCAGAAAATAAATCAATTAAAATTTGGATTATCTTGCATAACATGAACAAATAATAGTATAGTCAAATGATTGATTAACAATGATATCAATGTATTTTGGAATATTTGATAGATAATTATGAGAACATATACAAGTAATTGTGATGACTATGAAGTGGATGCACAAAACAATTGGTAAACCAACTGACACACTGTATGTACATAAGTGAAAGATGGCTTGATGTTTTTATGTTGTGTTTGTGTATGTTTGTCTAAAAAAATAATAAAACTTAAAAAAAAACCTAGCTCCATACATCCTACTTCTATTCTATTTTATGGGTAGGGTGGGGTAAGTGTGACTTTGTTATATTATATAAATCCAGGGGATCTGGTTGACTATTGATCAAATCCAGGGAAAAGGTTAATTCCATAATTAGATTTAGTGTTTCTATGAGCACAGTCAATATCAGGTAATAAATCAACGAAAAGGGGGAAAGAGATAGGAAAGAAGCAAAAAAGGCTAATCAGGCATATGCTTTTAGCTATGAGCTAGCATTAATCACCTCATTTGCTGTCCAAACCTATTTGTAATAATAATATGTGAAATAATTATTACATTTACATTTGAAGAAATAATGGAGTTACTCTGTAAAAACATTTCAACAGTAATAGTAAACATATATAATAAATATAACTAAAGTATGATTTTGTATTCAAAAAAGTTTCTCAATCTGATACTCACATTTTTGTGTATCCCATATGCAGTTGTTTAGTATGTCACCCAGCAAGTAAAAGATGTTTATTACTACAGTTACAGTGGCAAAGAAGACAATTTTAGCAGTTGAACCAAGGTAATCCAGGAGAGGATATACCCAAACCCCAGTCACATGATATATCCAACAGACCCTAAGAAAAAACACATACAGAAAATACTATTAATAATGAAGTATTCAATTAAAAACATAATAAATAAGTCACTTGTTTTCCTAAGGGCTCAATCCAATGCATGATTGCTCAGAAACAAGTGACATAATGGGGTTTACATCCAATTAAATTAGTATAGAATTACAGCTTTTATAGACCCTATCCTGAGTAGAAGACAACGGTTCTCTTCCTTCACAGAAGGATCCCTCCATCAGAGCACAAACTTACAGATCTAACCCACTCTATGCATCAACAGTAACACTATTTGATTTCCAACCAATATATTTAACATTATCAAAGGCAACAAAAAATGAGATATCTGTAGAAAGCAAGGAAGATGATCTCAAAAGAGATAGATCTGATTCATTACAAAAACAGCAAGGAGAAAAACATAAATTAAGTACAGAACAAATATATATGGCCCAGACACCTCCCTAATAACACTGGAATATAAGAAGGAAAAGAGAAACAGCATAATTAGATTCAAAAATTATGTTTATAGCCACTCTCAATAAAAGTAGTTTTAGCCTTTCCATGGAGTTGATTCTTGATAGTCTGGTGGGGCTGACAGCCTATTCAAAGTTGTTGTCTATATCAGGCATATGCAACAGTGATATATTCAGATTTGAAGCCCAAAACTTATGCGTGGGTACTTGTGTAACACCTGTCTGCAATTCCATAAAGCAGCTGCATATTTTTCTCAGCACTGAGCTCTGAAAAAAGCTATCTGATTTCGGAGATTGCAAGTATTATGTGTGACTTCCCTGAGGCTCTAAAACCCATTTTTGCCTTTGAAGCCGAAGCACTGCACAGATCGGTGGTCTGTCTCTTTCTATCCATGCACCCATGCTTCATTCAACAAGAAGGACTGAAAATATTTACATAAGCTCATTAGAATTTCAATAAGTAATCTTTATTTCTTTAATGAAAAAAGTTAGGAAGCCATAATGAAAGAATTCAAGCAATTAAAACAAGATAGATGATAGATAGATAGATAGATAGATAGATAGATAGATAGATAGATAGATAGATAGATATAATAGAGATAGATAGAAAGACAGATGATAGATTCTATAGATAGAAACAAAACTAGCAATAGTAACAGGAGACTAATATACTGCTCTACTGTGCTTTACAGCACTCTCTGAGCAGTTTACACTGTTGTTATATTGCCCCCAACAATCTGGGTCTTCATTTTACTGACCTTGGAAGGATGAAAGGCTGAGACAACCTTGAGCCAGTCAAGATCAAACTTCTGGCTGAGGGCAGAGTTATCCTGAAATATTGCATTTTAACCACTGCACCACCACACATAACTTTTTGTGTCTCCCCCCACCTGCCTTATCCTCTCTTTTGTGTAACAGGATCAGTTCATAAAAAGTTCATAATGAGAAAATAAATCTGGAAACCAATCTGAACCTGCATAGAATGATCCATTTTTATTGTATTTTAGACTACACATCAGTTTGCAATTGGTCAGCGTAGCTCTGTTGTTTAAAAGACAAGTTTGGAATTGTACATTCACAACCTTTGGATTAGACAATACAGATATAAGTGAACAGTTAGCCTGACCAAATTTAATGTGAAACTATGATCCTTAAATATATTTTTTTTGTGGGGAAATAATGTGGTGTGTCCCAAAATGCTTTGTATGAGAAACTCTCAGAAAATGTTTCCATCTGCTTCACTACCCCTAACAAGACCTTGTTGATGATCCAAGCTCTGTAAAGGACCTTGGAATACTCATCTCTAATGATCTAAGTGCTAGAGCCCACTGTAACTACATAGCCAAAAAGGCATTAAGAGTTGTTAACCTAATTCTACATAGCTTTTTCTCTGGTAATATCACACTACTAACTAGAGCATACAAAACATTTTCTAGACCAATACTCGAATACAGCTCATCAGTCTGGAACCCACATTACGTATCTGATATTAGCACAGTTGAGAAAGTCCAGAAATATTTCACAAGAAGAGTTCTCCACTCCTCTACTCGTTGTAGAATACCTTATGCCACCAGACTTGAAATTCTAGACCTAGAAAACCTTGAATTACGCCGTCTTCAGTCTGATCTAAGTATGGTATATAAAATCATACATTGCAATGACTTACCTGTCAATGAATACTTCAGCTTCAACCATAACAACACAAGAGCACACAATAGATACAAACTCAAGGTTAACCGCACCAAACTTGATTGCAGGAAATACGACTTCAGCAACAGAGTGGTCAATGTCCAGAATACTCTACCTGACTCTGTGGTTTCTTCCCCAAACCCCAAAAACTTTACTCTTAGACTGTCTACTATTGACCTCACTCCTTTCCTAAGAGGTCTGTAGGGGGCGTGCATAAGCGCACCAACGTGCCTACCGTCCCTGTCCTATTGTTTCTTTTATTTTTCTTATATGTACCCATTTCATGTATTCATAACTATGTATATACTTATACCTATTATCTTGTAAGCGATTGACAAATCAAATAAATAAAAATAAATAAAAAATCAAGATAAATGTGCTAAGCATATTTTTGAAAAAGCATTATTGAAATCAGTAGAAAATTTCTCATCCCTTTAATTGTGCTGTTATCAACAGAAACCACATATCTTATCTTAGATGTTGTATTTCCAATAGCAAAAATTAATTCTTACTGATTTAAGTTTTACTGCAGAAGCTTTGTATGTGAATATTCTGATTAACAGCAGTTGTTTTGAAGAGATGAAAGATAATGAGGCCGAATTCATTTTTTGGAACACTTCTTTAAGATATAGTAATCTTATTCTCTAATTAACATTGTCTCTACAAACAATTTTTCAACCGAATTTGGAATAGATTTCCAGCTGGAAGCAGTACAGGATTAATCCTAGAACCTTTGAACCCTGTTATCTATATCCTTGAATAAATTGTCACTGTTTGTTGCCCTCAGAGCAACATTACAAATAAACAAAAGATCATTTTAACAATGAAAAAATAATTGACTTAAATTCTACATCAAATATAAAGACAGAACTATCTATGACTACCCAGTTAGACCAGCTAAGATCTGCTGTATACAATTAGTCTCGCTATCTTTCTCTTCTCTGGAAGAGTGGCATTAGCAGTATTCTTGCAATGTCTATATAGGGAATTGCAAAAAGTAGTACTGCTGTCATGGAAACATTACCTGATGGCCTCTGTTGTAGAGTTCTTTCCTCCTTGAATGCATGCTAACTCAATACTGCACAATAATGGCTTGATCAACCTTAGGCATAAAGCTTCCATACAAGATTATTTGTTATTAACTCTAATGAATGCCTTCCAACAGTACAATTGTTGTACTGCTTATTATTAGATAAGCAGAAGGGAACATGCATTAAAATTCATTTTAGAGTCCCATGCTGTAGCCATTTAGTTGAGTCCCTACCATTTTCCGGTCTTATAAAATAACAGGTAATTTAATACTGAATATGCCTGGAAAAAAAAGAAATGGTTTGAATTTCTAGTCAAGGTAAGTGAAGGGAAAAAAAGGGGGGGAGAATTTAAATGCACACATTTCTCTTTTAATATGGGAACACAAAATGAATTTTTTGTTTCTTTGTAAAAGTGTTAGAAATCATTGCAATTTCAACTTTTGCCTATAGACTAACAACATTTACAGACATGCTAACACTGCAAACTATTTTCAGATATTCAAGAAACCTACTTTGCCACTGGATTATTCCCTGATTTATGAAAATAGTCTTGGTCTAAAAAAGAAATGCTTTTTGTCAAGTAAGGCAACAAAACCCACATCCTGGAATATTATGGTTTCAGAATCTGAAAGTAGAGGTTATAGCCCTGGAACTAGGAGGACATATTAGATTTCTTACAGAACTGATTTGGCTTTGGGTAGAGTGGGGCAACATTGTGATTTTGCATTATTTATACTTCTTCCTGATTCTATAGATCAGGGGTCCCCAACCACCGGTCCGTGGAACATTTCCTACCGGGCCGCCGGTTTGCTGGGCGCCGCCATCTTGTTTGACGAGAAAGTGCTTCCGGATGAGCTTTTCCGGTTGGAAAGCGGCGTTTGGGTCCTGAAGGAATACTCGCGCCTTAGTTTCATCGAAGGGGGGGGGCTTCAAACGAAACTAAGGCGCGAGGATTCTTTCAGCACCCAAGGCAAGGCGAGCCGAGCGACCGTCCCGAAGCCGTCCCGAAGTGAAGCCCATCAACAAAGGTACAAAGGAGGAGTTGAAGGTGGCGGGGAGAAGCGGGGGACGGCTGGCTGGCCGGTCGCTCGGCTCGCCTTGCCTTGTCATGTGTGCTGATGCCAGTACCAGGCCGCGGATCATTTGTGATGCTGGTACCGGGCCGCGGCACAAAAAAGGTTGGGGGCCACTGCTATAGATCATCCTTCTTCCAAGGAAGGTTTCTTTCTCCTTCCTTCCTCCCTCCCTCCCTCCCTCCCTTCCCTTCCCTCCACCATTTACAGACCTCAGCAGTTAAAACAACAAAAAGAATTAACAAAAAGTTCCTCAGCCAAACTGTGAAGATGCAAAGACGCCCTTTTGCAATCCCCCAATTTGTATCTATTAGCTCGAAACTGGCCAATAAATCTCAGAAGGCACAGTTTTACCTCCATATGTCATCTAATTATGTCAGAGATGAAAAATGCAACACTTAATACTCTCATTTAAAAATTAGAAGGTTTTTTTTTTCATCTATTCTCTGATGATTTCATTTCTTCCGAAGAGCCTTACAAAGGTTACAATTTGTACTTTTCCTATTTTAATCAATACAGAAGATAAAAGTTTTAGGCTTCTTAATCCTGTTTCAGAATCAGATACTAGCTTGACTTGGGCAATGTTTCATTTGCTTTGAGGTAAAGTGCCTTTCTGCATAAATCCTCACATTGAGACCCAAGCTAACTCTTGTGGTCTGCATCCACCTTTACTTGAATACACTTCACTTTTGTGAAATTGAACAGTTAAAAATATTTTTAATTCTGTTGATTGGAAAAAGAGAGGGGCATAGAAAAAATACCTAAATAATGTCTTATGGAGGGGGTGGGGGGAAAGTCCCTAAAAATATAAGCCTGATATAAGTATCATAAAAACCACAGCGTGAAACTTTTTATCAAAACCTGCTTGGCAAGACTGAGATATAAGTGATTAGATTTCACAATGTGAAAATGGATTCCTTACCATAATATGTAGCAAACTGAAATAGTGCACACAGCAATCAGTCCATAGGTCCTGCTGGGATATTCATGATGGGTCGTTCTCATCTCAATTAATATAAAGGGTAAAACAGTTGTATGCTACAATGAAAGCAAGATAGGAGAAAACAATTCATACAAGTAATATTTTGTATAAATTTATTAAATAATTATTGAATTAACAATAATCATCAGCTCTTTCAAGAACATTCCATGATTCCTTTAGTTCCAGCCATTCATTTTATCTATTGTTTACCCTTGTTCAACTTCCTTCAACCTTCAACTTCCTTCAACCTTGCCAAGCATTCCTCTATTCCAGAGGTCTCAAACTTAGCAACTTTAAAACTATGCTGGCTGGAGAATTCTGGGAATTGAAGTCCACAAGTCTTAAAATTGCCAAGTTTGGGGACCCCTGTTCTATTCCATTATCTATTCCCATCAACTTTCCAAAGTATGTAAGTTCTTATGGTGCCTTCTTGAAACTAATTATAGTATCTTTTTCTTTCTCTTTCTCAATATTCAGCTTTTTGCAACCATAGCTCCAGTTAGATGACTTTTTAGAAATAAAAAGTGTTATTTAATATTTAATAGAATTTCTCACCAGCTCTTAAAAATGCTGGTGGTAACAATGCAATAATTAATATAAATTGAAGAACAAATGATGTTTCTATTTTATATACACTGTTTCACAATCACTATATTTTTGTAAAGACTTAGCCTAAGCAGAATGTTAAGTTTCACGGTGTGATTTGTCAACTATTAAATACAAGAGTATTAAGTTTTAAGTGGTGTTTAGACTCACAGTTGACAACCAAATAAAAACCAGTATAAATACAGATTCAGCTGCAACAATTACAGTATGAAGTAACAGCAGAAACAAACTTACTGGAAAGGAAAGATAGTAAATAAGAAACATAGGGCTACTATTGTTCCAAGTACATAAGAATCTTATGTAGACCTCTGAGTAAATTAAGCATATATGGAATCAGAGGAAAATAGTCCTCTGGTTCATTGGTAGCTGATTAAAAAAAAAAACAAGAAACAAGTGGTAAACATCAATGGAGAGCTTTCATAAGTGACATATGAGGTTAAAAAGAATCTCCCAAGAATCTGTTTTGGAACTGATGCTTTCTAATACATTTAAAATGGAACTGGAATTAGCAATATTTGGATATTTAAAACAAAAAAACAAAAAGCAATGAAGAACATAAAATTAACTTTACACTGGGCATTGTAATCTAATTTATATTTCAACATGCAAACAATGTGTATTATGACAACCCTGCCCACCCACCCTCAAAACTGGAGTGTTGAGCAGTTACAAGTTTCACATCGAGGATTAACAAGGAATTAAAATAATACTGCCAATATCGTTCTTTAACAAATCTTATGGTGTGAGCACACTTGAAATATTGTGTGAAAAATGTTACTTGTAGAGGTAGAAAAGTTGCAGAAAAAAACATCAAAATGTTTTCTCTATGATGAATGACAATATTTGTGGTTTTATAGCTTAGGGATAAAAGGTGAGAATATGGCAGAAGTGATAATACCGCTAAATACAATGTGCATCTGGAAAAAATGAATAGACAGATATTTATACCTTTCTCATACTAAAATCCAAATTCATCTGATTAGCTAACCATAGATATTCAGAACAGGACACAGTTAATGTGATTTGTCAATGAAAGAGATGATTACAGGCAGTATTTGGATTTATACAAACACTTGTTTCTCATGAGAATGTTAAGTACATTTAATTTCTATCTATGCTTCAAAAACCCAGAAATCCATAAATTAAGTATTTTAAGATTCATGTAATATATAAGATATAAAATAATTTGTTAAGTTATTTTGCTTGATTGGAAAGTCGTTATTCTTTTATTATTTCTACTAACAAGCTCTTGTTACTAATATATCAGAAATGGAACAGGTCTACAATCCATTCATAACAATTTTCTTTAGGTGTCCTTTTCTAATTGATACATAGTGATATAATTCAGAATGCTGTATATTCTTCCTGATGCTATCCGAGCTGCTACACTAGATGGCCAAGCAGAGAATTGCCAATGCAGTCGTAGGATGCATCAACAAAGGGATAGCATCAAGATCGCAAGAAGTGATAATACCGCTCTATACTGTACTAGTGAGGCCACACTTGGAATACTGAGTCCAGTTCTGATTGGCACAATACAAAAAAGATGCTGAGCCCCTAGAAAGAGTGCAGAGAGGAGCAACAAAGATGATAAGGATTCTGGAAGCTAAATCGTATGATGAATGGTTAAGAGAACTAAGTATGCCTAGCCTATCACAGAGAAAGTTTAAGGGTGACATGTTAGCAGACTTCCAATATTTCGGGGGCTGTCAGAGAAGACGGGTCAGTCTATTCTCCAAAGCACCTGAGGGCAGGACAAGAAGTAATAGGTGAAAGATCATTAAAGAGAGACTGAACATATAACTAAGGAGAAATTTCCTATTATTGAGAATAATTAATTCATGGAATGGGTTATGCAGGTGCTCCATCAATGGAGATTTTCAAAAAGAGATTGAACAACTATTTGTTCAAAATGGTATAACGTCTCCTACTTAAGCAGAGGGCTGAATTACAAGACCTCCAAGGTCCCTTTGAATCCTATTCTATATTGACTTTCTGGACACCTCCTACAGACATGCCTGCCCTCATCCTTTGTCAATGTTTAGCAAGCTCTCAAACCTCATGCTTTCCACTGCCCTGTCCCAAGCTCATGCATTTGTCCAGGAACAGCATATCCTCCAAAACAGTGACAAGTTTTGACTTTTATAATGGTGCATACTTCAAATTGTTTTCAATACCTAACAGAACTTTAAATAGGAAAAAAATATAAACAAACGTCATCAACCAGAATTCCTGCCTTTCAGATCTCAAGACAAATTATATTATAAATTGCCACACTTTGTTCAACTCTCATCCAATCTCCACCCAAATTGATACATGTCTAGAAGTAACCCATGGCTTCAGGTGTTACATGTTTCAATTTCTGTCAGTGAATAAAGAATGAAAAATGAGGAGTTCAGTGCTTAATAAAGAGCCATTCCAGTGGTTCTCTTCTTAACTTCACAGTAACTACCAACTGATGGGAAATGAGGCATATTACAGCATCTTCATTCTAGAAAGCAACCATTTTATGCTATTTTAAGTTAAATGAATGCTATTGTAGCTCATAAGTAAAAAAAAATCATGCAATTATTAATATATGACATAAAACCTGCAACAGAGACATTATTATATTATTAACTTTTAAAAGCAAAATTATTTTTGACTTATGAATGTGGTTACAACACTGCCTCATGCAAACAGTATTAAGTTAATGCTAGATGAAGCTACACTGCCAAGCATGCGCCAGTATAATTAATCAAATATATTGCCTCCAAGAGGTTATCGATTTCTGGTCATGACACATTTTCCTTATGAGGTGGCGCAGTGTTGGTGCTTCAGATGTGCTGGCATGCATTTTTCAGTGACTAAGCCTTAATCCATCTTCCCGGCTCCTTGCCACTGACGCACTGACATCTGCAACTACTCATGTCTGACAATCTCATGCATGAACTACGTGGCTTCAGAGCTGGACAAAATTAGTACAGGAGTTTTTCGGTATACACTGAGCATTATCAGAAGCAGATAAGGCGACCAATTTTCAGAGGATAACATACCTATTACAAATGTCATTATGTAAAATTATATACATATTATAAGATTGCAGCACTATGAAGTATAATTCAAAGAATTAAATGCTAAGTAACATTTTGTACAGTGTTGATTATTAATTATTATTTAGCATTTTATGAAAACATGACAGAAGAGAAATAAACATATATAATGCTAAAGTAATATACGAGCAGAATTGCAAGCCTGGGATAGTATGTTAAACAAACTACAATAAAAACATTAATGTTGCACAATTAACATTAATAATTCTATATGTCCCTTCCCCACATTCCATATTGTTAGTATACTATAATATACATATCATGTATCACATATACATACAGTACGTAACATATAAAAAAAAAATCCAATATTTTTGTGAAGCTCTCCAAAATGCCATGTACCAAGTCCAATGCTCATTTCTAAATAGTTCTCCTATGAAATAAAGGATTATTATTTTTTATTTGACAGATGAAGATTCCAGACAAGAACAGATGGGCAGTCAAGTATCATGTCAATGACTGGCAGGACAACCAGTCATTTCAATGGAATGCTTTCTACATGTTATTGTCAAAGCATAGTTCTGAAACAGTAATAGTCCAACCACAATCCCAGATGGATTTATAAGCTTTTCCAACTTATCTAGTACCATTACATTACTGGATACCTATGTAAAATTGGAATGGGATTAAACCTTACCTTCTCTGGTCTGTTCCAAAGATGCTTTTTCAAACGGCAACTAGATTTTGTTTTTCCTTGAAGAGGTTTCACTTCTGAAGAACTGTAGAAGCTTCTTGGATGAGAAGTGAAATGTCTTCAAGGAAAAACAAAGAAAGACCACTTGCCTTTTGAAAAAGCACCTTTGGGACAATCATGACCTGGAGAATCACCACAGACATTTTCTGGTGTGTAACCTCTGGACTGTTTAGTCAATGGTAATATGAACATGCACATATCAATAACTAGAATTTTGCTTCTCTTAACTTTTAGTAGTTAACAGAAATACTAGACATTCATCCGAACATTATGTAATGTATCCATTATAATATTTAAAAAAAATTAAGTGTAGTTAATTTTATATGATGAACCAACGTTTCATTTCAAGCAACAGTAATTGGTGTTTTCCTAGCATAGTGTCTTTTTCTGGTTTGTAGGTCTACATAGACCTTGCTTTAACATTCTTTCCTCCTGCTTTTAAGTCTATTAAGGGCAGTAATTTTTGATCTGGTTGAATCTAAATGGTGACCATATAGATATGGGGCATAGCATAAAACTAGATAAATATAGGAAGTATCTGACAGGAAGTCACATATAAGAATATCAAGACCTTCTCTCTTCTGTTCCAGAAGTCATAATGGACAAAAAATAATGGACAAGAAATAATGAATTTAAGTTATAACAAGGTAAATTTTGACCAATT